TTTAGGCAATTCCCTCTACTCCGCGTGATGTTTTCATAGAACAAACATATCCTGGCTGGGAAGGGAGTCATCAGTGGTTGTAGCTGAAGTTGGTGTGGCAAAAAGTTTTCTGCGCTTTAGCTGTAAACCAAAATACACCTAAAAACCCCCTTGTATCTGAAATAAGGATTAATATTTCCATGAAGGGTGTTGCATTCATCTAAGATTTTTCTGACAGAGCCTAACACAGTTCCTTCCCAAACTACACATGAATTTCTGTTGTTAGAGTGGATGAGGTGTATTGCTGTCTGCACTGATGCTTGCAGTTAATGGCCAGTGGCACTGGGAATGAAACTCTGGCCTTTTCTGCTGAAGTGAGCTGTTTCCTGAGAGCCCCGTGGCCAGTTAATGATTGTGCTGGGCTGAAGTACTGTATATTTATAAAGGATTTCAGTAGAGATGCTTTACTGATCCTTAAAACCCCGCTTTTGCATAGACATCATTTTTACCAGTGCATAGGCATGTTTTTTAACAGTGATGCTCTGCTTCTGGCCAGTGGGGTTTGTGAATGAAATCAAGAGTGTCTAAGGGGGAAGGGAAGCACTCAGGAATTTTGACTTGCATTCTTTTCTTAATTGACTCCTGTATTTAGGGACAGAGCAGAAGCTGGTCTTGCTTCTCTACTGGTAATACTGGAGTCCTAGCCTAATCACAGATAAGTATGCTCAAGAATAGATTTCGTGTCATGAAAGCGAAGGAATACTTATTAATGTTGTCTGTACTGAATCTAGCAAATGGAAATTGAGGCAGTCATCCAATTAACTTTTATCTTGTTCACTGTTGTGATTGTACGACTCAGTCTCTTTTATGTTTTTTTTTATCTCCTGATGATGGAAGTTATAATAGCCACAGTCCTAATTCATCATTGTGCAGGATGATTGCAGTATCTTTAACACTGAGTGTCTGTCATTATTCATGCTGAATAAATGAGCTAATATGTTTATTACAAACAGTTAAAATTCTGCAGTTCTATCATCAAGACACAATTTAGTATTGTATTAGTTAAAAAAGTCCCTTAAAAGTTTTATATGCAGTGTTATCACGTAGAGGAAGCTTTAAAAACAAACAAAGCAAACAGGCAATTTTCCCTTGTTTAGTCTTGATTATTTCTTGCTGATTTATTTCAAAGATCTAAGCCCCCCCTCCGCCCTGCCCCTCCTCCCCATGCCCAATGGTGTATTTCAAAGTGTATTTAGTGAAGCAGTTCCTTTATCTCTTTGCTGCTTGTTCTTTTTGAAGGCACGTTAAGGGTGCTCTAAGGAAAACAAGACGATGTGCCCTGTCACCAGTGCTGGATTTAGGTCAGGTCTGTTTTCCAGGATTTTGGGAGAGGAAACCCGCTGTCTAATCCACGCTGAGTGTAGTCCTTAGCCTCACTGGCTATACAGACCAGATCCCGAAGCTTTCTAATACATCTTGCTGTCAAAATCAGCCTTTCAGGGATCTGTGTGGCCCGGGCAGGCTATTTTATTCATTTATTTATGGGGGCACCTCTATAAAATTAGTGGTGTCTTTACCTCGGTGACATCTTAACAGAAAGGGAAAATTGATTTCCTGCCTGGGCTGGGAAAATTCCGGGACCTCCTTATAAGGCTTGAAAGCAGCCAACTCCTTATAAATAAGGACAATTACATTAAGTCAATGAATTAAAACACACAGCAGGCTGTTCTGCTGGTTGGAAAGTGGTATTTACTGAAGCAGTGATTGCAGTCTAAATAGCACATTTCTAGTTTTGTAGTTACCCCTTTTCAGCAGATTCTTGGGTGAATTGATGTATTTTATAGCCTTCCATCGTAGGTTTGCATTAGCTAAATAAACTATGTGTTAATGTAATTGAAAGCTCGATCCTCCAAACTGTTTGATTCTGTTGGCAGCAGCAGAGGTGAAAGCAGCAGGATCTTGCTCGGCAGTTATTGCACGAATTAATGTAAATCAGGAGACATTTTAAGAATTGCTCTGTCTTTTGAAAGCATGTAGCATAAAGTAAGACAGCCCTTTCTTCTGTTCCTTTTGTCCTTATTTTCGTCTATGATGATGTTTTTACATGTAAGTAACAAATATATTTATAGACTTTTTGAGAACTGGAATAGAAAGCTCCCAAAATAACAACACAGTCTATGGGAGAACTTGCTTACCAGATATCCTCTAAAACAACCACCCTTTCGTAATTATGCATTTGTGTCTTAAATCAGGTACTCTTTTTATACATACTTTTTATTAAATCGTTGAAAGATGGAATGGCAGTATTGTTTACTCTGGAATTAGAGAAAACTAGTATGTATAATGTTGGGGCATTTGACAAAATGGACCATCTTTTTCTTTATCCTTCCAGTGTTTGTTAAACTGTGTTTATCTATTTTTTTTTAAAGTTTTTAGAAGTGTTGTAACTTGAAAATACGATGAAGTAACATTCTTAAGCTTTTTTTTTTTCTTGTCTGGTTGAATGTACTGTAATTGTTGCCTGTGGATAAATAGGAAAATACCAGGGATTATAGAAATCTTCGGGTCTAGAAAACAAGCAGATTTAAATTTGCTTTATTACTTAAGCAAGCAAAACCAACAGAGCTATATTATTGATGAGGTGAACCTGCATTTTCTGCAAAGGGACTTTCGGGATACCCACATAAGGTTTCTGACCCGGTATCCTTGCCTTCCTTTGAGTCCTGCAACAACGTATTTTTCTCCTCTGTTTCAAGTGTGTCACAACTGGGTGTCCCCTCTCTACTTCTGTAGAAGGCTTAATTCCAATCAGTGTCTATTTTGTATTGGCTTATTTCCTTTCAGTTCTTGGCGTATCTCTTCTAATTCTCTTGAAGTAGGCTCACCTTGTTTTGAAATACAGTATATTTCAGTATTTGCCCTTATCTATGGGCACTTGTTCTAAATTCCGTTTTGTAGTGTATTGCACTGTCATTAAAAATCTCTTCACTGGCCTCTTTAGCTTAATTGCTTTTTCCCCCTCCAGTTCAGTAATGTAAAGTTTCCGATGAGTGCAGATTGATAGTGCTACCCTGTCCTCTCCAATTACTCCCTTCTGGTTGCACCAGTATGGCATTCAGTTTCTCTTGCAGTGGTTGCCTCCATCTGTCCCTCACTGTCTGTAGCAAAGGAAATCTGCTTAAAAGACAGGTGATTTTCAACCAGTTGTCCAGCTTATGTGGCCCTCCAATCCATAACCAGTCACATATGTGGCCCAGTTGTATGACAACAAAACATTTTCTAGCCTTGGCAGATAGTGTTGGAGCAAGAGTGAAATCTGGAACTAATTAACATGGCATTGAATGCAAAAGGAATTTACTAGCTGTCATCAGTTGTGGGCCTTTCTTTAAAGCAAATTCCATTTTTTGTCACCTTTTCATATATTATCCTTTAGCCAAATGTGTTAATTTGATAGTTAATTTTCCCTTCTTCTGTAACTCTCTAAATGCAGATTTTGCCTTTGCTCTTCTATGTAAAGAAAAATAACATGCTATTTTTAGGACTATTGCCTTTGTTTTACCAATTTTTCAGTTGACTTCCTTTTCCTTGTGTTCTTCGAGATGCTTTTTCTCACTTGTAGTGCAACCGTGGTTTTTTCCTCGTAATGTTTTTCTTATTCTTTGCCTCTTCAATAAAGGCAGTGTAGTTTTGCTAGCCTTCTGGTCCTGGTGAGGTACTTATAATACAGTTTAGAAATACCTCTTTTATGCACTGGTTTAATTTTTGCACTCCACTTTGTTAAAATTCGCCTGCTTTCTGGTTTTGCGATGTGATACACTTTACCATTGCAAACCACTTTTTGACCTTGTTTAGTTCTTCCTATTCTTTCCCCCTCCCCTACCTGATTATAATGTTTACTATCCTCAATGCTCCCTTTTATTCTGAACTTTGAAGGGAATATGCCAGCATCTGTATTCTTCCAAAGTGAAGTTTACCAACCAAGGTCTATGGATGGCTTGATGTGAGCCACTCCAAGGACTATTTTATGTCCTGTGATCTGTGTCAAAGTGTTGTCTAAGTTGTCATCCTGAGATATAAATAAATATATTTATGTATATTTAAATTCTTTATAAACACTCGACCTGAACCAACTTTTTAAATAAAGTTGGTTTCTAAGCCTGAGAAGGTATAATGAAATCATTAGGGTTCATTAGTCATTCAGTAACACCTTAGGGAAAAGTTTGGATCGCTAATTGGAAAGTAGATAAGAGGGACATTTCTGAAAAGATAATCCAAACACTATGAAGATTTCTATAGGTTCTACTACTTACTCTGCTGTACAATGGAAGCACTTTCTAAAAGAAATACCTTATTTGAACAGCGATACCTTGGTATGAAGGTGTCACTGTATAAAGTTGTTACATTTATGGAGTTGTGTTGCTTAAAAGTTTCCTTCAGTTTTTCTGTTCATTATGTGATTTAAGTAATGTGCAAAATGTAATTTCCATGATTATGGAATCAATGAATGGAAAATCTCACTGTGGTTTTATTAACTATTAGTGAAAAATTACCTGAAGTTTTATGTACAGTTACGTTTTTTTCAAAATGAAGTTTGAATGTCTTGTAAATAAAGTATATTTTTAAATAAATGCATTGTTCTGAGCTCGATTTATGTTAGCAATAGGGAGCTTGTGTCAGTTTGGATAATTTTAAGACCTTTGTATGAGAATAGTCTGCTCTTAACATGTGAACTTGTTAATGTCAGGATTAAAACGGCACACTCCAAATCTTTTTCTTCTTGTCCTAAAGCGATGGTTTTCAACATTTATTACCCAAGCGTACCCTTGTCTCTTTGAAAAGAAATCCCAGCACTACTTGGGCAGCATTGCTGTGGTGGTTTTCATGTACAGCCAGTAACAGTTAGGTTGTAACTGTCATGCTTACCATCAGCTCTCCAGAGAAGTCGCTACAGAGCAGACCTGTAGGTTTGTGGCTGAACGTGTCTCTGCTAAAGTGTGGTCAAACTTTAACACTGTCAAAGTGTGGTCCCTTGCTGTGAAGCGTTTATTTTCTTCTTTTAGTGGGGTAACTAACATGCTTGTTGTGTGATGCAAGAAGCTCATATCTTGGTGAATAGAGATAGCAGGCATTTGAATAGCTGCGAAGCATTGTCTGCTGTATTAGTAAATTAAATATACCTGGGATATTTGAGGGCAGAGAGACCAACTGGCACAGAAGAGCTTGCATCTATGCTAGCAAAATACCATCCGCCTCAACAGAGGGTGGCTCCACGCTGATGGCTAATTGAGATTAGCGCCTCGACTCTGGACTGTGCCCGGGAATGGCTTGAGGGAGCAGCGATTGCTGCAGGACACAAAATGCTTCAGCAGGTTACTAGTACAGATGATCGTGGTTCATCCCTAGGCACTGTTTAATTTGCTATTATTGATGAGGCCCTTGGTCCAGCCTCCACGCTGTTTTGCAAAGTAGCAGTACCTGCAGACAGGAAAGGAGATGAAGCTGGTGGTGGTTTCTTGGGATCTGGGGTTGAAAGGTTTCCTCTTTTTCCACAGCTACGCCGCGCTGTATCGGTGTGCAGGGTGAGCCGGGAGGGGAAGGGCTGCCTGGATCAGCAGTGCAGTCAGCAGATAACGCTATCGTCGCGGCTGCTTGCATGGCTCTGGAAACAAAAGGCGCAAGGCAAGTGGCACGTTCGATATGGCGTTGCACTTCGCTTTACCTCCTTCCAGTCCTAGTACATTTATTTACCTTTTTTGGTTTTTTTTGAGCGTTCACCCATCTTTATTAAAGTTCTGCATCTTTTTAACTGCGTATTGCTGACCACCCTGTTGTGAGGAGATGGAAACCGAACTGCATCAAGAGGCTTTGGGGTATGTGTGGGAAAATGAACCCATAAAGACATTAGGGTAAAGTTATTGAAATGGCCTAGTAGGTCCACACCTAGTGTAAAGGAAGTATTGTAAGTAAGGGATTGCATAATTCATGAGATAGGAAACAGCCTTTTTTTCCATATACACCTTAAAAATCAATCTGGTAAAAAGCATCTGATGTGGATGAGCCGATCCCCCAAGTTTTAAAACAGAAGTACAACAGGCAGTGGGAAATCAGCACGACAAGTGCCAGGACATCTTGCAGAACAGCACTTGCTTTAATTAGCTATTTCTCTCTAAAATTGCCATCTGAAGCAGAGACGGTAGCCTTTCTGCGTACCCTGGGTGCCTTTGCTTGCCTAAAGTGTTTGCAGAAAGTGTTTCCTTAGGGCACAGTTTGGCTTAAGAGTCCGGGAGCGTGCAGGGTCTGCCCTGTGACAAAACAACCTCCAGCAGCACAGCACCTGCAGCTCTTGTGCTGGCTGTTGCATGCTTCAAACATTTACACCCAAGTCATTTTGGGGACGTTGCCATCAGGGGATCACGTTTCTACTTGTGAACACCTCTGGTGCTGTGTAATTTTCCAAGAGCGTAAGTGACTGTTTGGATGGCCCTGAATTGTCTGGGTGTAGCTTGGTAAGTCACAGCAGAGGGAGATAATCAGGGTCCCCAAAATAATCGTAAGCCTTTGCTCAGTGCCAAAAGGAGCTGAAGCAAGAAGCTCCTGCTTCTCCCCCAGCTAGCAGTGCTGGAGCAGACCTGTCCCTGTGCTGCGGCAAAGGGACTTTGTACATCGCCCGGGATGCACTTCAGCTGCTGCTGGGGAAGGATTTTCTGAAGCTTTTGGAAAGGGAAGAGTGGGAACCTGTGCAGTTCTCTCAGTGGCCCCCGAAACCCCATTCTCTGAATAGCAGCTGTGTGTTCAAGCACAGTTTCTGAGGCCATTCAGAAGTGGGCAGTGGTGTATACATTGTCTTTCTGCCTCCTACTCCTGGATGCTTTTTATGTGGAGGGAAGGGACTTACCTGGAAATGTGCTGAGGCTTTTTTACACTTTCCCTTAATTCCCATTACCTCCAGATGTGAGCCTTTTCATTTGTTTGCAGTAACTCTAATTTGCCTCTGCTCTTTAGTATCTGAAATATGAATTCTGATCTTAACTGACCAGCTCCTTACATTCACAGCCTCAATAAGTCCATCTGCCCCTGATGCCACCGCTGTATGTCTGCACTGAAAAGAGAAAAAATCAAAGGCAGAGATCCCAAGGTATAGTTCTCCTAACGGCTATGAAGTTCTATAAACGAGAAAAAGCACTATGCTTCCTCCTGGTTGTAAGGCAGGGTACTGCTCCTCCAAGAAGCCAACTGCTTGTTTTGGGCTCGTGGTTGGGCTGAGGTGAAGGCTATCCTCAAAGCCTGCCTTTGGCAGACCCAGCATTGCTGTCCTTGCCCTTCTTTCAGCTTTGCCAGCCCAAGAAGGAAAGGATGCGGCTCCTGATGCAGGAACACGGGAGCAAATTATCTGCTGGTGGAAGCAAGCACAAGTGTGTTGGCTGGAAGGAAGTTCTGGCTGTTTTCACCAGCTGAAAATTTGGCCTTTTGCTCTGCTGTTCTCCATGTGGCAGGGAACGGGGCTGCCGGCACAGCAAGGAGGGGTTGCACAGCGACTCAGCGGTCACCTTAAAGGGACAAAAATTTATTTGTCTGGCTACAATGGCGATCTCCAGGAGCCATGGAGCAGTAAGGCAATGACCCCCCCTCCTGCTGACAGCGGTGTTTGTTCCTGTACATATATAGATATTATTTCTAGCAAAAGTCAAAGTCTTCTGCTAATTATGTTATATTTGCAATCCCCAACTAACACTGATGCTACGTTTCCTTCTGAAAGACAAATACTGTCTCTTTTAAGCACTCTGTGTCCTGGCCAAAGAGTAATCACGTGAGGCAGCGGCAACGGGAGACCGAGGGGAACAAAGAGGAGCCTGGCTCGCAGAGCTCTTTCAAAGTAGTCGTTCTCTTGGCCAAGGAGTTGGGCAGCTTGCCCGTGCCGTCTTTGAATCCAGCATCTCTCATACAGCCCCATGCCCGCTGCTGCGGGGGTAAGGGTAACCTTCTTTGTATGGGACACACACGCACAGAAAGCAAAAAACAGTCTGGGCAAATGTGGCCTGAAGAGAAGGAGCTGTAAGGAAGAGAGGGAGGGAGCACGTCTCTCTCGTAGGATGGAGGTTGTTTCCACAGCAAGTGCCAGCAGCAGCTGTCCTGCCTGAAGGGTACTCAGCAGAGAGGGTCTCATGAAATAGAGAAACGTCTTATATTTAACTCACAGAGGCATGTGCATACACACATATGCATGTATTTATTTTTGCATGCACACACACGTGTATACGCACACACATATACTGACGTATATGCGAGTGTATGATACTGCCTATAGATGATCGTATTTATTATCATTCAGCACATGAGAGTTTTTGCTTTAGTCACAGTGCCATAGAAATACCGCTTGCTGAGTATGTCTGATACCTTCTATCTGGTATATCCTTCCTGCTTATCGCTTTGAAATTGGACCAGTTCAGTATGTCGGGATTGCATAGCTGCCCTTTAAAGAGTTGTGCATCTGCCTGACAGAAACTGCCAGGGTTAGCAGCAGGGTTTTGTGCGTATTTGGTGTATATTCTGTACCATTAATGGGCGCTGCCGTGTGGATCCCAGCTGTGTGAGGCAGCTTTCTGCTAGGTACTGACATTGTGCAAAGGGCAGAGGCATAATAAGTGGACTTTCCTTATCATGAGGTTCAAGCTGATTTTCCCTGCTGTGGTTGATCTGGGCAGAGCGGAGCACAAAAGTGGTCTTGAAAAGTTAGCTGGACAGGCAAAGGGAGAAAAGAAGAGGGCACGGATGGACAAATACAGCCAGTCCCCTGGGGAAAGTCCTCCAGCTGCTTCATTTGGTGGGTAACTGCTACTGCAGTATGTTTTTCGGCTGGCAACAACAGCCACAATCTGACCAGCTCTTATCGCCCTTCCTCAAGCGTGCTGGGGCCTGCTCCACCCTGACTGTATCTGGGGGCTCCAAACTCTGGCCCCTCCGATCCTTTTGATTATTTTCCTTCCACTTGCTCTTCTCAGATGCTTTCTCCCTTGTCACCCAGTGCCTCCCTAATCTCCTTTCTTCCTTGCCCATCTGTCCAGGGCTGCCAATCTCTCCCTCACCAGCATGCAGCTGCCCACCATGCACTTGCTCTCTTTCTGCTTGGAGTCCTCTTTAGCTTAGTCCTGGAAAAAATTGGAAAGGGAGGTGTTCAGAGCGGCTGGGTTTAGGGCTTGAAAGAGAAGCCAGCTCAAAAACTAACTTGCTCTTTGGAGAACTGCTGCTCAATTCTATATCTAGACCTGATGGTTGAAAACACTCCTGGCAAATTTTCTCTTTTTTATTCAAAACTATCAAGTGGTGTGTTAGAGATTAGAAAGACATGAAGATGTGAAAACTCAGCTCAGTTACTGTGGCTACATAGAAGTGTTTTTTACTACTACTACTACTGCTACTAACAACAACATGGAAAGTAAAGGCTGTGGTGACCAGTTTCAGGCAATTTAGAGAAGAGGATCAATAGAAAGATAGCCTGCAATATTTATACTTAAGGAAATATTTATGAACCCTCAAAGCTTTTGTGGGAAACCACGTAAATTCAGGGGTAGAGGAAGAATTTGGCTAGAGCATTTTTGGCAGCCTCCTTTAGGGTCACACAATGACTTCTGAGACAAAGCTTCCTCCAGCCGCTGAGTGGTTTCCCTTTGGCAAAGACCACAGATATACTCAAGACCATCCTTGAGGTCTTGTCCATCTGCAGCGCTGACAAACCACCACTTTTTTAAACCTGGTTTTCATCTTATTTGAGACCAGGCTGGCTAGACTGTGGCTGGAGGGGGTGGCTGCAAGTCTGACCTGCGCTCAGCCCGTTCCTTTCTGCCTTTGCCACAATGGTCCGCTGCCTCCCAACAGCAGCGCTCGGGAAAACCCAGAGCATCCCTCTGATGCATGATTTTTCTCAAGACATCAAAGCATTTTAGAGAGCTCGGGGTGAATACAAAATCAAGAAGTATGTACCTGTGTGTGTCTCTTTTTCTCAATTTATCATTTCGGGTGGGGAAGGAAAGAGGGTATTTTGGGTTCAGTTACAATAGAGATTTATATGTGTTTTTTACTCAGCGCTATGTGCTTTAGCATAAACCTCCTGACCCCTAGGGAACTGCTGCTGCCATGATAACAGGCAGACATTATGAGTTAATGCTTATAATAACATTTCATATGGTAAAAGATTTCCAGGGTTTACAACTTTGAACCTGTTATCCTGTACCAGATTAATACAACTGTATTTACAAAAGTGATTACAAGGGCACTTCTCTTGAGCTAGGCAACTTTTCTTGTATGAATGATTAAACAATTCTGACTAATTTGACTGCCGTTACACTTTTTAAGGAAAGAAGTCTAACAGATCTTGAATGAAGATTCCAGGCACTTAACCGTTTAATCTGATTAATTTAAAATGAAGTTTTGCTGATTTGAAACACTGGTGATTCTACCTTCACTGAGTCCATGGGTGTTGTAAGAGCTGTGGGACTGAACCTCATGAACCTCCACTGAGACATTCATCACTGCTGCTTGTTTTGCCTGGCTGAACCAATGCCTCTGTCCTCTCAGATTTTTTTTTTTTTTTTAATCCGCCCCCTCCCCTCTGGGCTTTCAATGATAAGACTATGTTAATAAGGCTGAATTTTGTTTGCCCAGCTGAGCATTGTAAAGAAACCCTCTGAAGTCTTGTTTGACGAAATACTAAGGAGTAAATGTTTAAAAATGTTAATCT